TGTCCTGTGCCAAGATAGGGAGGTGTGAGAAAGAACAGTGAGAATCTGTGGGTGGGTGAAGTGTGGTTTGAGATGGAGAGGTGAGGTTGAGAGTGGATTGGGGCCAGATTACAGAGTATCTGGCGTGCCTTTCTCAGGAGTTTACTTTTTATCTTGTAAGCCATGAAGAGGCAATAAAAGACCTTCCAGCCAGAGAGAATATTCTAAATAAAAATGTACACCTTAAAAAAGATAAATGAAATGGTAACGGTGGGGGGGGGAGGGGTTGAATGGAGAAGAGACCAGAAGTAGCGAGACCTATTCACTCATGCATCTGTTTGTGAATACCCGTCATGTGCTAGGCAGTGATCTAAATGTTGGATGCTCAGAAGTGAATTAAACAAAATCTCACAGTCATGAAGCTTTTATTCTAGTAGGACAGAAAGGCAATAAGCTAACTAAAGAATATAATAGGTTAGATGGTAATAAATACCATAGAGAAAATTAGAACAGGGAAATGGGCTAGCCAGTGTTGGAGGTTTACGATTTTCGATAATGCAGTCCTCAAAAGCTTTTGTTGATAAAACGATGTTTGAGTAAAAATCTCAAGTGAGGAAAAAGTGGTGTAGGTGCAATAATGCTCCATTTTCCCTGGTTTGGCTTCCTCTGTTTCAGTGACTTACAGTAGACCATGGTCTGAAAATACTATGTATAAGATATTTGAGAGAGAGATCACATTCACATAATTTTTATTACAGCTTGTTATTATTATTGTTCTCTTTATTAGTTATTGTTGCTAGTCTTTTCTTTGCCTAATTTATAAGTTAAACTGTCGTAGGTAAGTATGAACAGGAAAACATAGTATATGTAGGTTCAGTAGCTGTCAGGCAGCCATTGGAGTGTTGGAATAGAAAGCTGCTAGATTTGGGCAAAAGTTTCCCCAAGCAGAGCAAACAAGGAAAAGACCCTGAAAGGGGAGTGTGTCTGGCCTGTTGGAGGAACAGTAAAAGTAACTGGAATAGAGTCAGTGAGAATGAGTTGGGGGGATGCAGTCAGAGAGATAATCGGGGACATGAGATTATTGCAGTTATAGAAATGATAAGGGTCATAAGCTAAGCTAATGGAATGACCCTGATGAAAAATAGTAGGTAGAGTCAATCAAGAAGTAGTTCTACATTAAATAATATAGTTTTTGGTGGCTGAGTAGAAGATTTAGAAGGAGAAATAGACGATTCCAGAGTTTCTACCTGGGATATCAGTCGAAAACAATGCCACTAACTGCAAGAAGCAGGAGGAGAACATGTCAAGGAGAAACATACAGCTTTCAGTTTCGTACTGGCTTCGCAATGTCTGAATGACTTACCAATGCAGATAGTCACAGACATTTGAAATTATGGGTCTGTGCTCAGAAAAGTGAACTGGAGATAAGGATTTGGACAGGCTACTATAACAAAAATACCATAAACTGGGTGGCTGAAACAATAAACATTTATTACTTAGCATTCTGGAGGCTGGGAAGTCCAAGATCAAGTGTCTGTTGAGAGTCTACTTTTTTGGTTCATAGCCACGCATTTTCTTACTTTGTCCTCTCATGGTGGAAGAATGAAAATACTGTCTGGAAATTTTTTTTTTTTTTTGTAAGAGCACTAATCCTGTTCATGGGGGCCCCACCCTCATGATCTAATACCCTCCCAGTAGCCCCTCTCCCTCCTAACACCGTAACTTTGGGGGTTTGGTTTTAAATTCTGAATTGGGAGGAGGGTAACACAGACCATAAAGTGAATGAGTGATGACTCACCTACTGTTATAGAGTATGAAGGGGCAAGGGATAGAATCTCAGGAAATACAATGTCTGAGGACCTGGACAGGAAAAGGAGAAAGCAAAAGGGCCTAAGAAAGTGTTTGGAGGGCCCCCCTGGTGGTGCAAGGGGTTAAGATGCAACCTATGAAGCTATCAGCAGTCACTGCAGTGCGAGTTCGATCCCCAGCCAGGGAGCTACCCACATGGCACAGCAGACCTCTCCTGACTCGCCCACTGCTCCCCTCAGCAATGTATTTCAGTCAGTCTGCCTGTTCTGTTCCCCACTCTGACTCTGGTGAATCCTCTCACCCCCACCCCCACTCCTCTGACCTATACCCCACTTCTCGTATGCATAAATAATTTAAAAAAAGAGAAAGTGTTTGCAGTGGAGGGAGGAGAACCCAGGGCTGAGACAGATGTCCTGTTCACTGGTATCCTAAGACATCTGTGAAATCAGGTATCATCTCTCCCAATAGTTTAGAAGCAGGTAATTTCTGGTTGCACTTGACCACCTTGCCAGCAGGTAGCACCAAAAGCTGAAGGAATTGAAAAATCCTAAAGTAAGCTGTTCTTTTTAATGGTTTTGTCTTTTTGTCTTGCTTCTCTTTCCTGTATCCGTGACTCTGATAATCTGATTTTGTGTTTCTGTCTGCTTCCCCCTTCTTACCCACTGTCCTCCCCACTGCCCTTCCTGCAGTGGCCACTTCTTTGCTCCTAGATGGCACTCAGAGATGCCTTTTTTTATTATTTTTTAAATCTCTGATCTAGCTCTTAGAGTTTAGTCACATGGGTCTGATTAACATTTCTTCTATACTCACAAAAACGTCTTTGAAAATAATTTTCCTTTATTGTGGCTTTTTTGTTTTGCTTTGTTTTGATGGTTGTTGTTACTCTCTTATGGTTTTTTTTTTTTAATTAACAATTTCAGCAGCAGTAATTCACAAAATTCAGACTTCTTTGCCTTGGGATTCCCATAAAGTGAACATCTCTTTAGAGGCAAGAACCCTATTTCAGAGCTGCTGTGTGATTGTTTCCAACCAGGTGCCAATCTAAGTCTCACTCTCTTACTCCTTGATTTTCCCAGTTCCAGCAGCTGTCACCAATCTGAGGATCACAGAGAACTCCACCAGATACCTGTCCTTCAGCTGGACCACCTCAGAGGGGGAGCTCAACTGGTACAACATCTTTCTCTACAACCCAGATCGAACCCTTCAGGAGAGAGCTCAAGTTGATCCACAAATCCAAAGCTTCTCTTTCCAGAACTTACTACAAGGCCGAATGTACAAAATGGTTATTGTAACTCACAGTGGGGAGCTGTCTAATGAATCTTTCATATTCGGTAGAACAGGTAAGACCCAGGCCCAAGTAGTAATGAATAGCAAGGAAATTGTCACAGCCTTCATTGTTTTTCCTCCATTTGTCCTTAGTTTTCTATTCTATCCAAGGTCTGGATTTTTATAAAATGTGTGACCTCTAGACTTTCTGATCATAAATCAGATATTTGCTTATATATCAGAATAGCCTGTGGTCAGTTTTTGGATTGGCCTCCACTCTTTTGCTGCTGCTTGTTTTATCTCATAGGGTCTGGTGAAAAATGAATCTGGCATTTCTACCTGCCAGGAACCCAACCTGGCTCAATTCTAGCTGTACCTTCAAGCTTTCTACAAGAAATGGGTGCCATTGAGGCAGGTACAGAAAAGGGCTCTACAAATAGAACCAACAACAAAGACTTGGTCAATCAGAAACACTGCACGATGAGATGAACACAAAGAGTTCCAGACATTGCTCTGGGTTGCAAAAACAAATGCAATCTACTCTTTTCCCATACATTTAATCCATCATCTCATTTTCCTAATCAATTTCCTCATGTGGCAATAGTCTTTGGGTGCTCCTATGTGCCAGGCACTGGGTTCTTGGTTAGAATAAGATGGAGAAAAAGACAGACAAGGGTCCTCACCATGTCAATGGGGCAGGTGTAGGGAGCCTGCACAGTGGGAGAAGCAACTATTAACACTTCTCCAAGTGAGGTCCCACCACTGTAGATTTGGGTAAGAAAGAGCATGAGAGGAGTAAGAGCCTTCAGGAGATGAAATAAAGTAGCCCAGGGCCTCCCTAGTGGTGCAAGGGGTTAAGTTGCAGCACTCTGAAGCTATCAGCGGCCACTGCAGCAAGAGTTCAATCCCCAGCCAGGGAGCTACCCACATGGTGCAGCAGACCTCTCCTGTCTTGCCCACTGCTCCCCTCAGCAGTGTATTTCAATTTGCCTGTTCTGCTCCCCACTCTGTCTCTGGTGAATCCTCTCACCCCCCAGACCTCTGGCCTGTACCCTAGTTCTTATATGCATAAATAAATAAATCTTTAAAAAAAAAAAAAGAACAAGAAATAAAGCAGCCCAGAGAGGAATGTTCATGGAAGGTGGCCACCAGTGAGATGGTGGGCTGGAAGAGCTGGGACCATCTATGAATACTTTCAGGGCCTTTATGTGCTAAGTTATACACCACTTAACTAGGTTTTAATTATTTCTGAAGATGTTGTTGTATATTCTTATCATAATGAATGTGGCAAGCATATAGAAATTACCACTTACTTTGCTTTAAATTTGCACTATATCTCTAAACTTAAATGACCTGATATGAAGGCCAAATCTGACTCTGCAATATGTACTATTCACTCATGTGTCCAAGAGAGCTCATATTTTCACCCATGGGCCAAAATGCCTTTGTTTCTAACTCAGGTTTGCCCTCTGTTTTAGTCCCAGCCTCTGTGAGTAATCTGAAGGGATCCAATCGGAACATGACAGACAGCCTCTGGTTCAGCTGGACTCCGGCCTCTGGGGACTTAGACTTTTATGAGCTGATTCTCTATAACCCGAATGGCACAAAGAAGGAAAACTGGAAAGGCAAGGACCTAACGGAGTGGCCCTTTCATGGCCTCATTCCTGGAAGGAAGTACACGCTATGTGTGGTAACTCACAGTGGAGATCTCAGCAACAAGGTCACAGGGGAGAGCAGAACAGGTAAGAAGCCGGGGCGCTGATGGCCAGTGTGGTGAGAAGCAGCTTCCAAAGAAAAGTTTTAATTATAGTTTTATTAAGAAAAAATAAAATCAATTATGATGTGGCAGATGCTGGCCCCTGAACTTGGGGGAAAGCACAGTGGATAAACGACACAGACTTTGCTCAAAGAGATCTAGGTTAACTTAGCTTAACTCTGCCACTTACCTCTGTGAATCTCTGCAGGCCACTGAGCATTGTTAAGCCTCAGTTTTCTTATCTATAAAACAGGGATAATCATAGATGTCATCTGTGTTGCTATGAGCAATACTTCCTAAATGTCTTTATTTCTTGGGCACATAAAGATAACACCAATATCTGTATGCCATCCTGGGGTCAGTGAACAAGATTAATTGTCTGTGAACTCTAGCCCCCACAGCCCAAAATCTGATGGAATCAGTACCTTCACACCCTTGTTACCCATTCAGGGTACACTCATGTTCCATAGCACCCTGGTGAGGAATCTCAGGTTATGACATAAAATACTCCAAGGCCATATCTTACACATCGTAGACACCATAAATGGAAGCTCCTATTTGTATTGTATTATCTCTTCCTCCAAAGTATGTTACAAGTATGTGTAATGTCACTCAGTTACCTGATTCGTATATGTGATGGCACAGATGTGATTATTCATTTTCTTTCACATGCAGCTCCAAGTCCTCCCAGTCATATGTCATTTACTGATATTGCAAATACATCCTTGGCCATCACCTGGAAGGGACCTCCAGATTGGACAGACTACGATGACTTTGAGCTGCAGTGGTTCCCCAGAGATGCAATCACTGTCTTCAACCCCTACAGCAACAGAAAATCAGAAGGACGCATTGTCTATGGTCTTCGTCCAGGAAGATCTTATCAGTTCAGTGTCAAGACTGTAAGCGGTGATTCCTGGAAAACCTACAGCAAACCGATTTTTGGATCTGTGAGGACAAGTATGACATGTTTTGCTTCTCTTGGTTCTTAAATGGAGTGATATGGAAGTATTTGTTGTCTTAATCCAGCGGGGCTTGATTTAAATACACATTTTTACTTAGGATTGGTTGGACTTGAATTCATCTAAATAGATGCAGGTTACATTCATTCAATATTAGCAACTATAGACAAAAATAAAGAGCTCATCTCTACCCTCATAGAGTTTACAATTAAATGATGGTCCTATCATTGAAAAGACAGTTACACATTGAGTGTGATGCAGGAAGTATCTGGCACTACAGAAATACAAGGTAGGGGCAGGTGACCCGATGCTAGGGAACTTACTCGAAGAAAAACTTCCACATATAAACTTAAGAAAATAGTAAGAGTCACTAGGTGGAGAGGGGAAAGGAAGTAGAAAATACTCCAGGTAGAGAGAATAAAATATCCCAGACTGGGCCTCCCTGGTGGCACAAGGGTTAGGACGCAACCTATGAAGCTGTCCACAGCCACTGCAAAATGAGTTTGATTCCCGGCCAGCCAGGAAGCAGAAACCATGGCGCAGCAGACCTCTTCTGGCTCACCCCACTGCTCCCCTCAGCAGTATATTTCGGTCAATCTGCCTGTTCTGTTCCCCACTCTGTCTCTGTGAATTTTCTCTCTCTCTCTCTCTCTCTCTCTCTCTCTCTCTCTCACACACACACACACACACACACACACACACACACACGCCACCTCTGGCCTGTTCCCCAGCTCTTATATGCATAAATGGATAAATCTTTAATAAAATAAAATAAAATAAAAATATTCCAGACCAAGAGGAATTAAGAGCAGAAAGGCATTTAGTTAGCCAGAGTATAAAGGGTGAGATTTAGGCGAATCATATCATAAAATGTCAAGTCAGCACTGCTAACAACCTTGAGTTTATCCTTATCCTAAACCAGTTGAAACCACTGAAGGACTTTCCGCATAGAGGTCATCATCAGATTTGCAGTTTAGAAAGTCACTCTAGGGCCTCTCTAGTGGCACAGGGGTTAAGTCTCAGTGCTATCACACTATCACCATTATGGCCTAAATTTTCAAATTCTATTCCAGAGCCTGAAGACTCCTCCAAATTTGGGGGGAGCAGGGACAAGACAATGGAGATATAGGGAGTTCACCCCAGTAAAAGACCACTGACCCCAGTGCATACTTAACACACACAACCAAAACCTCTCAGATCTTACATATTGGAGATTTGAGAACTTCTTTTTTTTTTTTTTGAGAACTTTTTTTTTCTCAGTTACTAAAATCAAAATTCAAAAGCTACTCATCTAAGTAGTACAATTTATCTTCATAGCAACCATTTTTTGTGTGTGTGTGTGGGACCCTCGCCGGCGGCCGGGGAACAACCGGCGGGCAGCCTCTCAGCCCAGCGCTCAATCGCTATGCCACCAGGGGAGGCCCCATAGCAACCATTTAGAGATGATGCACATGTAGCTGGTTGGGAAGGCTTACAGCGTTTGATAATTAACCTGCACAGTCACTTATAAGTGCTTTTTTTCCCCCCATGGTGTCATTCACAACAACAAATGAGATCAGCTATCATTCACTGAACCCCTACTGAGTCAGGCACTCTTTCAGGCAGAGAAAACTGAATGACTACAGCATTGGGGCTGGAACAGCATGGTATGGGTGGAGAACTGCAGCAGTTTCAGTGCCCAGAGCATGACTTGGGAGCCTGGAGGGCAAAAAATGGACAAAAGGAGCAGAAACCAGGCATAGAGAGTGGCAAGTCAGCAATGCAATTTCTTGATTTCTTGTTTTAAGAACTAGCATTTATTGAGCACTTACTATGCGACCACTGTTCTAGGTGGCTATGCAGGTATCGACTCATTGAATCATCCCAAAAAGCATGTGAATTAGGTAATTTAACTTCTCCACATTACAGATGGGCACAGACATGTGCAGCGACTTTCATTCTAACTGGTAAATAGGATTAGAACTTAAGCAGGGTGAACAGCTACTCTGCCCACCTTCCACCTGGCTTTTCACATTGGATTTCAATGCCCCCCTGTGCACATGTATTTTCAGTCAGGTTGGAACTTGGTAATTTTCTGTAGGGGCAGCATTTCAACATTAATGTTTCTGAGATCTCTCAGGAAAAGTTCCCTTTGAAAATACATGAGAATTCTTTCCTTGAAAAACACTCCAAATAACATTTAAAATTTATCTGATGTAGTCCCAGCTGTTTATCTTTGCCTTCACTGTCACTGCTTTGGGTGATGTGTCTGTAAAGATGTTTTTGAGGTGCATGTCATGTAGAGTTTCGCCTATATTTCCTTCAGTATATTTTATGGTTTCAGGTCTTATGTCTAGTTCTTTAATCCATTTTGAGTTGTTTTTTGTGCATGGTGTGAGGTAATGGTCAAGCTTCATTCTTTTGCAAGTGGCGACCCAGTTTTCCCAGCACCATTTATTGAACAAACTTTCTTTGCTCAAGATGTGGTACATATATACAATGGAATATTACTCAGAAATCAAAAAAGATAAACTCATGCAATTTGCAGCTACATGGATGGAGCTGGAAGGGATCATGCTCAGAGAAATAAGCCAGAAAGAAAAAGAAAATTACCGGATGGTCTCACTCATAGCAGGGATTTAAAAAATCTAAATAAGGGACCAGGAAAAAGACTAATTATAATAAAGAAAAAATCAAAATCAACAAGCAGAGACACACTACAGGGTGGGGGGGGAGAGGGAAGAAAGGAGGGATTAAGGCCAAAATAAGGGGGGTGGGAATTGTATGGGGAATATAACCAAAATGAAAAGGCATACATTGTGCAAAAATGAAAAAATGATGTAAGAATTATACAAAATAAAAAATAAATAAATAAAATTTGTCTGGATCTCCATGCTAGTTGGACCCCAGGAGATGGGGGAAAAAATGTGTCTCACAGAGTTCTGAAAGGTGTCCCTTCTTTCTCCTCTAGAGCCAGACAAGATACAAAACCTGCATTGCCGGCCTCAGAACTCCACAGCCATTGCCTGCTCCTGGATACCTCCTGATTCTGACTTCGATGGGTATAGCATTGAGTGCCGGAAAATGGACACCCAAGAAGTTGAGTTTTCCAGAAAACTGGAGAAAGAAAAATCTCTGCTCAACATCATGATGCTAGTGCCCCATAAGAGGTACCTGGTGTCCATCAAGGTGCAGTCGGCAGGCATGACCAGCGAGGTGGTGGAAGACAGCACCATCACCATGATAGACCGTGAGTGTCCATGCAGGTGTGCGCCGAGCATGAGCCCATCTGTCTCGTCCATCACACTGTTCACTGCTCGGTTCCCAGCCATGAGTGTGTCTTCTTGTCACTTGGTGAAGAGGTGCTTCAGGAAATGGAAACATTTCTCTATGTAAAGTATCCTGGCAGCAAACAAGTTAAATGATCTTAAAGAACCTGAATGAGTTAGTATTTAAATACATCACTTAGCCTGATAGAATTATAATGGAGCTTTTAAGCAATTTGATGCTACAACTTCAGGAAATCCCGCTGAGGAGCTGCCTCTTTCATTATGTTTAATGTGCTCCTGGCAAATCACTTCCTTTACCTCTTCCCTTCAGGAGAGGAGGGCGCATTCTTGATTACAAGCTTCAAGCACACACACAGTGACAGTCACACGCATGCACGCGCACACGCATTGACACTTGGCTGTTGTGAGTGGAGTCCTTCATTTAACTGAGTATCTATCTATAAAAGCAGTGTTGTGACCTCTTTTGATTTCCCTCCCTACCCCTTCTTCCAGGCCCACCTCCTCCACCTCCACATATCCGTGTGAATAAAAAAGATGTGTTAATTAGCAAATCCTCCATCAACTTTACTTTCAACTGCACTTGGTTCAGCGACACCAATGGAGCTGTGAAATACTTTACTGTGGTGGTGAGAGAGGCTGATGGTAAGTGATCATGTAGTACCTCTACTGTAAGACACAGGGTTGCTTTCTCAAAGGTTACTGTGGCACCTCTTGCTGTGACAAATTTTCAAGCATAGAAATCTTAGATTTTTTATCATTCAGTTCTATCTCTGTTGGGTACAGGAAGATGAAACAAAAACTCTGCACAAAGACTCATTTAGCAATAAAGCCTGTTACCCTCTGGGTTTACTTATTAAATGGGTGGGCATATTATATTATTAATATAGTAACAATAAGCATCATTTATTGACTCTTCAGTATGTGCCAGCCACTATTAGAAGTACATGGAATGTAGTGACTCATTCAATCTTCTTCGCTGCTCATTCAATGCTGTTCATTCTTCTTTTGTTCTGCCATTAAACAGCAATATGTCTCCCTTGTCTTCCCCATCTCAAATATATCAAACTAACCACATGCTTCCAAATGCCCCACCAACTCACAAAAATATTCAAAAACTTAAAGAAGGAAATGCGGGTCTCCCTGCTGGTACAAGGGGTTAAGTCTCAGCACTGTCAAACTGTCGCCAGCCACTGCAGCACGAGTTCAATCCCTGGTCATGGAGCTGACCCACATGATGCAGCAGACCTCTCTTGTCTCGCCCGCTGCTCCCCTCAGCAGTGTATTTAAATCAGTCTGCCTGTTCTGCTCCCCACTCTGTCTCTAGTGAATCCTCTCATCGCCCACAACTCTGGCCTGCACCCCAGTTCTTGTATGCATAAATAAATAAATCTTTAAAAAAAAAAGAGAAAAATGATGATCACGAAAATCATTCCTTTTTCTCTACAGTTTTCAATAAATGTTCCACTCTCCAATCCACTAAATTGTTCAATGTCTACCTAACTGCTACAGAACA